ATAAGGTATTCATAAATTTTCTACTTGCATGTGTGTGTATTAGGAAATGGAGATGGAGTTTTTGGATTCTTTCATTTTTATATTAGACTTTATTTACTAAGCTAGACTTTATTCAATATTAATCTTTTTACATTAAGTCTACTCATACTTAAATATCTGAACACTTTTTTTACTAGCTCGAGAGTAAAGGCCATTAGCTTCCTCATAGTAAAGGTGTCATAAATATTAAGCCCTCGCCGGCTGCAATTAAAAGCAGCCCAGTTTTCGTTTACTCTAAACGATACGCGCGCACAACTTCTCGGGCGAAACCAAAAATATAGTCTTTATTTCGAGTTTGTTCCTTAGCAATATGTGTGTGTATTTATATGGATCACACTATCTATATATAAATTATTGTGAACTAATATTCCCTCCGGTGCAACCTATAAGTATTTTCTCTAAGCTAATATTGGTCTAAAATAGAAGTAATTTAGTATTTGTTAAAAAAATTATTTTATCCCTTATATTTATTAACCTTGGTTCTCATGTCTGTAAATTTATAACCTTTTCACTTATCATAAATTGAAGCTAAGATTAAAAAAGAAAGACAATATATATTTTCATAAGAATAAGAATTTTAATTGTACGCAGATTATTATTATTATTATTATTATTATTATTATTAAATAATGCTTATATTTCAGACAAAAGGGGAATATGATTTATTATAAAATTTTATATTTTATATCAAGCTTGATATTTATGTTCAATTTTAAAACTTGATTTTTAGCGTAAAGAGATGGTGATGGGTAATGCTAGTGGCAATTAATTAATTTGTATCCTTGAATTTATTTTGTGGGTGTGTTAATGTTCCAGGTTATATAAGGACAAGAAAGAAGGGTGTGGCTTTGTAGCTTATTTTATAATGACACGGAGGCTTTTCAATGGGTTGACGTAAACAAAAACTTGGAGTCTTATGATTTACATGTAACATTCTTTGTTCTTTCCCTCCACAAGCGAACTACAACTAGCACCCAAAACTTTCAACTTTGACTTTTCTCTTCTCTTATCTCAATTACTTTCTCTTTTTTCCTTAAAAAATTTAAATTTAAGTATACGTGATGATGAGGTCATTGCAACGTAAGGATGTCGTAAGAAGAACAGAGGATCCGGTATTGTCTTAGCCTCAGGGTGATCCACCATGCAAATAGTGAGCTTAGGGGCAAATAAGACAGGCTGGTCCTAATTAAATGGATTTATCGAGTCCATATATTTATCATCCAACGTAGCTTGAAATTCTGAGAGGCTCTTTTCAATGTCTGATTTAACTTTTGACCTATCTCCGAAAAATTAATTTAACTAGTTAGGGATATTGTATTAGATTAATTAGAGGTGTTGAGTTTAAGTTTTGAAAATGTAAGGGCTTGACATGGATTAATCTAGGTGTCAGTTCAGTTTCTTCAACTCGATATGGGCAAGTTTAAAATATTGGATGCTCAGTGCAAAAATTAATATATTGTTTGACTTATTTTGTTGTACACAGCGGTCGTCCGACATGTGTTTTAATGTAGATAGTTACCCCTTTAATTTTGTGATTCCTCATGTGAATATGGATTTGGTTTTAATTTAACCTTACTGATCTGTTAGTGTTGAACCCACTTATCAAAACAGGAACAAGCAGAGAGGAAGAAAGAGGGGGAAAGAGATGACAATCACTTGGGTTTAGGTGAAGGATTGGGGTGTAGATTTTGTTCGAGGGAAGAAAAAAATACACTTAGATCTTGAATTTTAGATTTAAAATATTGGGAGGAATGAAATCGAAGATGTGATCATTAAAATTTGGGACAATGGGCAGTAAAGAGAGGATTGAGATTTTATAATAATTTAAGTATTATGGGTGATTATTTTTTATTGAAACTTTTATTGCAAAAGGTTTAATTCTTATGTTTTTAGTGAAATCATTTATTTTTTTTTCAATTCTTACAGATTTTTATTAAAATCAGTTATATAATCAATTTTTTGTTTAATTTTTTTTTTTTGCAAACCAAGTTGGCATAGATGGTAAAAGTCTCATTATTATTTAAACAAGCAGTTGGGATTCAAATCTCAACTCTTACACATGCAGAAAACCCAATTCATATGATTCGATATTCACATACAGTACCCAATTCATATCATTTGTGTCCCACTTAAAAAAAAAAAAAATCTATCCGCACTAGTTCTGGGTCCTAAGTCCACCATTAGCTGTACATCATCTCACAATTGTGTTGTAATCAGTAGATTTCTCTCTTAAATTCTAAATTTTATAAATGATCGTAAAGCATTGTTTGTGAGAGGACATAGAGAAGGTATATCATAAGTTATGATAGAGACTCAAAATGTGATGTTTGGCCCTTAAAATTGTACCTAACTTGGGAATGTTTTTTGTGCTCCTCTTGATTGATTGATATGGTCATTGGATCGGCTATTTAAGATTGATTGGTAATTTGATATGATAATCCACAGTTGTCTTCCCAAAGTGAAGTTAGGTTCTTCAACCTGGTTCATCTACTGGTAGGGTCTCCCAATTGAAGGGATTAAATGGGGCCTCATATTTATGATCGAACTTACTTGGAGAATGATTTATTTTACAAGTTCAGCGTACTAAATGTTGATGTTTGGCACTAAACTTGTATCTAACTTGAGTCTGTTTTCTTGTCCTCTTGTTGGTCTTTAGGTTCTTAATTAGATTCAAATCATGATCCATGAAACTTATGTCCTCCCGAAGCTAGGTTCTTCAATTTGATTTGTCTCCTTGGTTTTGATTTACTTTGAAGCAATTGAGTCTTTCAATTAGAATTTATGATCTCCTATCTTTATTTTTAAAACCTATTAAGTAATAACTAAATGTCAATGAAATTGATTTTATCAGTATAAGTTCATGGTCTTTATGTGTGTGTGTGTTTTTCCTAAACAGTCTTTGTGTGTTTTTAAAACTATAGAAATTAACATTACAAAAGGATCATGCTGAAAGGATTGATATCAATAAGATAAAATTTTAAAAACTAAAAGAAAAATGCAAGAAAAGTACAGTGATATATTGTTGTATGTTCTTTTTCTAATTACTTCCCTCTAACCATTTGTTATTGATTTGTCTTGTGTTAATTTTTTTTTTTTTTGCTATTTATTATGAACGAATTTTTTTTTGTTGGCAAAAAAAAAAGCCACTACTAACATCTTGTAAATAACATAGCTTTCTAACTAACATGGGTTGAATCTAATAAAAGAAGTTAATTTCTTACAATATGACCAATTAATATTTGAATTTCTAATGGAAGTGCTCACATCTATTACTCGACATTACCTTGAATAGAATTGCCTATAATAAGAAATATATGTGAATATATATATATATATATATATAACTTGCTATGAATCATATCTAGCATAAAATTTATATCAACTTGCACTGTGACGAAGTTGTAAAAGATACAACCGATTTTTTAGACTTTGAAAAAAAAATACAAGGATATATCTATATAGTTCTAATGCATACATACATAAATATTATTTTTTTTAAAAAAAAAGGGGGGGCCTATTTTTTCAGAATGAAGATGCAGTGCATTCAGCAGATTTGAATGTAAAGATGGAAACCAAAAAGTGTCACCAATGGAATTTGAATACGTGTTGTTTGATTATTGTATTTTCTTTTACTATATAAAATAATTGTATTGGCAAAGAAATGAAGGAAATTCTGTGATTGAATAGTACAAGACATGTCATTTACAAAAGGTTCACAAGTTCATCACGCTTCATGCTTGCATCACAGCCTCTACCTCAAGAGGCCTGCAAATTGACTTGCTCACCTTCTATCAAGTTGGAGTGAGAGAATAAGAAGAAAGCGTGAGAAGAAGAGAAAGACACAAGTGACTGCTAGTTTTTTCTTCACACGATGATCACTTCTTCTTTGCATGATTGAATCTTAATATTTGAATAGCATATACTCCATTTAAATCATAATATAAGTCATTGTTAATTAATTTATATTTATAAAAAAATTTTATTATAATCTTGGTTTTTTAAAAATTTTCACATCTTTTCAATTGTTTCCTTAAATAAAATAAATATATTTTTTAACTTATTCAAAATATTTTCATTAATTCTTCAAGTAAAGTATAAGAAAGTTGATGTATAATTGAAATGTATATATATATATAAGTACACCCAATATTCTATATTTCAAATCAAGCAATCTTTTAAAAAAGGCCTTATAATATAATAAGGATGAAGTATGTATTAAGTATCTGTAGTTTTTAATTTACATCTAACAAAAGTTTATTTAAAAGACTTAATTAGTTATTTAAATTTGATAATAACACATCTCAAATATGATTTGAATTTATTTTTAAAGATTATTTAAATAGGGCCTAAGTCGTCTTCGTCAATGCTACAATCACAGCTTCAGTACGTCATTTGATTTGGAATCAATAGCTTTTTGTGGAATACTAATTGACTTCGGAGTATTCTTGTCTTATTCTAAGTGTTTGTTCCTTGAATCGTAATAGTATTTAATAAAATCCCAATTAATTGGGCAATACTAATTAAAGTCCTTAAATACTAATAGGGACCAGCAAAAATAGTTTATAAGGTTGAAAGCTAAGTTTGAAATGACAAACGAAAGGCAAAGATTCCATCAAAAAACAAAAAACAAAGATAAAAAATTTAATGATGTATGTATCACGATTGTCGTTATTATTAATATTATTATTAATTTATTTATTCCCTACAGTCAACTCATTTTTATTGGCTGAGTTCGATAATTTATGTGTCTACATTACTGGACTAGATTGACGAAGGTGTCTGCAAATTGGGCTCCCTTGGGGGAAATGTCTGCTAATTGGGCTTCCGCCCCAAGATGTATTTGTTGGGCCTTTTGTAAAACTTTTTCCTTGTCCTGTCTCATGTATGGCCCTCCATAATGACACCATGAAATTACTGGTATCTAAGTTTTACTTTCCAAGAATCGTAGATGCAACAAGATATTGACAGGAAGGAATATATTTTGCAAAGCACAAACAGAATCAGCGTTTTGACAGATGTTCAGTTTGCTACAATCCTGCTAATTCTAACATCTAAGAATGCTTTTCCTAGCCAGAAATTATTTCCTAAGGCACCGAGTTCTAGTACATACCTAAGTGACTCACTCATCGAATTCACGAGGATTAAAGAAATAAATCTTGGATCAGAAGCTAACACCATCATCCGCACGTGACTACAACAAAATTCACAATGCAGATCCAGCAACAAGACAATGTGAGAAGTACCTACAACGGAGCACAATGTAGATATCTCCTCTCATATAAACCAATTATTTGATCAGCCACAGCCCACACAATGGCCTGGCCAGGTGGAATTCTCATGAGCCTAGGCAGCAGACCTTTCCACAAGGCACGAAGACCTTCCTCTGCATAAATTGTTCTAATGGCATGGATCATACCCTTGTACTTCACTTCGCCTCCCGCTCGGCTCTGAGCCATCAGCCTTGTTTTCACGACATCGAAAGGACCGGTGCAGATAGGGCCTGCAGTACCTGCAAGAAATCCAGAGATCATGGATTGCCATGGTTGAAGGACTTTCCCGTCTCCTTCATGTTTCTTCCATAAAAGGATGTCAAAGGTATATTTGGCAGTAAACATGGCAGCTTGATTTGTCCCATTACGCATTACAGTTGGAGCAGCCCCAGCCCAAAGTCCAAAAAAGCCTTCTTCCTTTATAATCATTCGAGCACAATGTACAGGACCCTTGTACTTCAAAAGATCAGGACTTAGACCTCTCTGTTGCTGCAATCTGATTTTCACCACCTGTAACAAAATGATGGTGCTAAATTACAAACTTTAACCACTGCATCACTTTCAAGAGACAGACAATGCATAGATGTTGTTAAAGGCCAAGTAGGATCCCATCCTGTAATTTGTATTTGCGCATCAATAAAAATTGTAAAACAGGACACAACTTTGTTAGCTAGTGCTGTAGACAACCAGAAAAAAAGCTGCATGTCATCATTGTTAATTTACACTGGAGGGCATTAATTAATTTCAACAAGTGAACTTCTGGGCTTAAACATCTTTGCTTGACATGACCTATAAAATTTTTAATTTTACTTCATCCAACTAAAAATGCAAAACATTACTTTGAGGGAGTAATGGAAATGCAAATGAAAAAAATGAATACACGCTTGTCAGGTACAACAACAAGGGGAGGGATGAAAATGAGGATCAGTAGTCAGTAATAGAGAAGGATAAAGAATTTCAGCAACAACAATGTGTTCTCTTATCGCAGGATGGGACTCTCACACCTTAGATCCAAAATCAGGTACCAAATACTAAGTGTTTATTTTTTTCTGTATGTTTTATGATTTAGCTTTTAGCGGATTGATTTCTGAAGAGGGTAAGCTTTTTCTCTTGTTTCAGCAAAACTGGAGAGGAACTAGTCTCTCACTAAAGAAGAAATAGATGCGTTCTGGAGATCCCAGAAGCAGATAGAGGAGGAACACCTCAGAGCTATTTCTAGAATATCAGAAAATAATGAGGTCTGAGATTGATAGATGATATACTATTAGAGCTTTTTTCTATGTGCGGGTTGTTAAAAAACAAAAGGCTAAGTACTAATAAACAGCGATTAACATTTGATAGGGACAGACCAGCACATACGAGGAATCTGAGAAGTCAAGCAGTGTGGACTTAGCTTGCATAGTCCAGTACCCTTTTTCTTATTAATCAATTTCCCCCATAAACTCAAACTTGGGATCAGAATGTGAGCGGAAAAGAATAGTCTAATAGAAGAGAATCCTGAAGATTTAAAATGCTTGCAGAAAGTGAAAATGGACTAGTAAACTTATAAAGATTTATTCATGCTGATCAACTGATCTTACAGAGTGATTGAGACAACAAAAAACCCAATACTATACAACCTAGGTAAGCATTTCCATAGCATTAGGAACCCCAGAGTTGACGTTTTATGCATAATTACTGTATATAAGATGTCCAGATGCCAAGAACCAGACCATCCAATGCAATCAAAATCAGCAGAATTGCTTCAGTGAGAAAAGCAAAAAGAAGGATGTGGATTTCTACCTTGCAAGATTTTCATTTGGCTTTGCAGATAAAAGAGAAAAAAGGACCAATGCAAGTCTAGGAATTGAAAATATATGTCAAGGTATTTTACATTCTCATCAAACCAAAGTTCCCTCAAAATGTCGAAATCCAGATACAAGCCAATTAGCTTTAACATGACAATCCAAGCTAAAGTCTAATCTCAAAAGTGGCAATTGCATAAACATCAAGGACCAATACTTTAGAGCAACTATCAAATTTAATAAATATGCAACTAAATGAAATCCAAAACGTATAATCTCATTATCAATGACAAACCAAAACATCAAGGCACAAACCTCAAATGGAGTAACAATAGCAAGAGCCTCAAGGACCCCAGCACCAAACCCAGAAAGAAGCCGCCCCTGACTGCTGATTTTCCCAGTCTTGGAGTCCTTAAATGCTGTTTGAAATAATGCATTCGAACCCATTCGCAGTGCGTACTTCAAGGTCAAATGTGTAGCAAAAGGTGTCAATCCCTTCCATAAAGCTCGCACCCCTTCTGTGCGTGCAACTGTGGTACCACAATGAACTATTCCCCTGTAGTTTCCAGACCTATCAAGTTGCAATCTGGTCTTAATGACATCAATAGGTTGCAAGCAACAGGCCTCCATAACACCTCCTAGCGAGCCAGAAACTGCTTTCATATAAGGTGGGATTGCTTTCTTTGAACGCGTGTTGGGATTGTCTTGCACAGCGTCTTGTTGATTCATGATTGATAGAGGTTTGCTTTACTATAGTAGAGGCCTGATGATATCACACACAATATCGACAAATCCCATACATGTGACCTAATATCTATGAAGCATCCCTATACAGCAAAAATGGAGAAATTAAAATTCGCACAAATTAACTTTTCTCTCGTGTTTTGCATGCGAGACAGATATTTCAGGATTTATCCCACTAAAACAACAAGTCACATCTATAAGCTGATGCAGGTAAAAATCTTTTCACAGTCGTGGGTTTGTGCTTCAATTTCCAAACCAAACAACGATAGTCCAAGAAAATATTAAGAACTTGAATTGTGCCAACAGTATTAACAGAACAAAAAATAATATATGAACACAGGATGTTGCACAACAAGAAAGAGAGAAAAACAAACTGTTAGATCTCAGCTGCACTATTGTCGACCGCCAAAAGATGAGATTTAATTCCGTCCCCCCTGAAATCTGAAACCCCAGAATTAATGGAACACGCTCAGAAATAGTTAAAACCCAGAAAATCTTTCAAGAATAAACAAATAAGTTTAGTAAGAATCACAGAATGTGAAAAATTGATTAGCATGAAAAGTCATCTACAGAAATGAAAGTATAATTCGACAAAACAAGTAATTGAACTCACTGAATAAGCAATACGAAACGAGGGCCCTTACAGCCACACGAAGTGGCTTTCGGGCAACGGAGAAGACGAAGAGGCGAATGTGATGGAAATTTGTGGGGTTAGACAGGTGTGTTATTTACCAAAGTTTTAAAAATCCAACCGGACTTGCTGGTAACCGGTCACTAGCATGCTTCGGTTGAAGCATGTTAATCGGTGGCAAATCAAACTAGTGAATCGGTCAAAGAATTGAAAAAACTGAATTTATTGGTTTGGCCGGTTCATACCTTTTAAATTTTTTTTTACTTTCAAATGTCAAAACGACATTGTTTTGGCTTTTTTACAAAAAAAATTTATGTTTCAAAAAGATAGAAACTAAGCCTGTATTAGAAATTCAGAACCATGATGATCAATTGAAGCCTTGTAGATTCTCATCTCTGTAGCCCTAACTACTTGAAGCCTTGCAAATTCTCATTCTCTTTTTCAGTTAAACATGGTCAGATTCTCCCAATGCCAGATTGGCCCTCCTTGGTAGCATTCTCACCTAGCTCCCCCCTCGGTTGGCATTCTCTCCTAGCTCGCCCTCGCCCCTGTCGATGTTCTCTCCCAGCTCACCCACCCATATCGAACGCATTAACCAACTTGCCCCCATCAGCATTTTCTCAAGCTCGAGAGGCAAGCAGTGTACACGTTCTGTTCCTCTTCGTCTCTCTCCCCCCAAGGCAAAGTTGAGTACTTGAGTGTATGGGTTCTGTTCCTCTTCCTTCCATTCATCTTCATGATTTCATCTCTTTCCTTTCTTGTCAAAATAAAGCTGTGCTTCTATGATTTCATGCTTATCTGCAATGGCTTGCATTTTCCTTTACTTGAATTTGCAATTTTGCTTATGTGATTTTAGGTCATCTACAATGGCTTGAATTTTCCTTTGCTTGAATTTGCAATAGCTTCGCTAAACTTCTTCAACACCTTCTCTACACTTCTGTGATTTCGTGCTCATATTTATGATTTGGTGATTTTATTTGAATTTGTATGCTTGTAGCCTTATACAGAGTTCATGCTTGCTTAAATTTGTCTAAATTTGTCTGTTTGTTTAAATTTAATTTTTTTAATTAAGATGATGAATACTGGTGGCTCTGAAAATGATGACACTCCCACACATACATCCACTCCTTCAACCACTCATACACCCATTTGAAATATCCCCTCTACTCACAATGCTAATGCTATTAGAGGGACTAGTTTTGGTAATTCATCAGAGAAACAATCAACAGTTGATTCTACTCGTGGGAAGACAGATCCTACTTGGGAACATGTAGCCTTAAGAAAAGAGGGAGGTACTGCTAGTTATACATGCTTGCATTGTTCAAGTGAATATAGAGGAGGTGGCATAAATAGATTGAAGCAATATCTAGCTGATATGAGTGGTCAAGTTATTTTTTGTAACAAAGTTCCTCATGATGTATGCCATCGAATGATACAACATTTAAGGGAGGTTTCAAGAAAAAGAAAGTTGGAAGATATTGAGAAAAATTATGGTGATATTGATGACTCATAAAAGTATTGGATGTTGATTAAAATCCACCAAATACAGCTCCTTCGACTCAAGCTAAAAAGAAGGTTTCTACAAGTGGTGCAAAAAAAAAAAGCTTCTGGTGCAGCTGACAATTATTTTACCCCAAGAACAACTCTCAATACACAACCAGGTATTAAAAGTATTTTATCAACTAAAGAAGCATAACACAAAGCAAAAATAGCTATTTCTAAGTGGTTCATTATCAATTGCATTCCTTTCAATATATTAAATTGTTCATTATTCCAAAAAGCTATATATGCAATCACTGCTATAGGATCTGGATTTAAAGACTTTACTGCTTATGGCATGAGAGTAAATTTATTAGGGGATTTAAAAAGGAAATGTCAATTGATTGTTGATAGTCATCAAAGTAGATGGAAAAGTAATGATTGTACTTTAATGGTTGATAGTTGGACTAATATTAGACAGTATATATTGATAAACTTTTAAATTCATTCCACTAAAGGTATAGTATTTGTAAAGTTTATTGATACTTAAGAGATGGTTAAAGATGCAAAAACATTGTTTTAATTTTTTAGTGAAGTGATAAAGTAGATTAGACCTAAAAATATTATTCACATAGTCACTGATAATGCAGCTAACTATGTAGCATGTGGTCGACTAATTCATGAAAAATATAGACATATTTATTGTCACCCTATGCTGCATATTGTAGCAATCTCATCTTAAAGGACATTGCAAGTTTGCTTGATTTGTCAAATCTTGCATCCAAGGCATCAAAGGTTACCATTTTTATGTAGAATCATACTGTCTTCTTGTCATGGCTTAGAAAAAGATAGGGTTGGAGAGAGATTGTGTAACATCTCAATTTAAATTTTAATAGTTAATTTGAGTTAATAAAAATTTTGGAGAATATTTAGAGGTAAATAAATTAGTAGAATATGATTATTAAATCTAACTTAGGATATAATTCTAAAAAAGTTATTAATTAAAAAATAATTAAAAAAATATTATTAAATTATTGTTATTATAAAAAAAAGGAAAGGTATTAAAAAAAAGGAGGAAGAAGAAGAAGAACAAGTTTGCTTTCGGCGGCCGCGTAATGATTACATGTAAAATAATAAAAAAAAGGAAAGAAGAGAGAGGAAAGAAAAAATAATAATAAAAAATATGGGACTCACTGAATTTTTATAAAAACTCACCTGTTTCCTTCGTTTCTTCATTCTTCCCTGTGCGCGAGCTGAGGCAAAGAGAGCGTTTAGTTTCGCCGGTGTGAAAGATCTAAATTTTTAAGGTAAGAGTTTTTAATAGGATATTTAGAGTGTAATTTTAAGTTTTTCAAGACTAAGTAAGTGTTCTAAAATTTTTCTTAATCATCCTTCCTCTTTGGTTTCTGATTTTATGGTGGTAGAAAATTTAAGATCTAGAAGAGAGATGAATTTATGTTGAATAAATATGGTTTATGATGTTGTTAGTAGTATAATAAATATTTTGGAGTATAAATATGTTGATGATCTTTGAATTTGTGGCTTATATATCAAATTTTAAAGTAGATCTAAAAATATATGTTGATTTATTGAGGTTTAGATGATTATTTGGGATCAGAAATGAATTATTATGGCTATAGGATTATGATTTTAAGCTAAATACTCAATTTTTAATTTTTGGGTATTTTAGGTACGAATTTATGAAATAAAAAGAAAATTTTGATAATAGAAATTAGTTTAGAAATTAATTTTTAAATTATTAATGTTTATTGATGAGTAAAAGAGGAGTTAAAAATTTTACTTAATAATATTAACTCTAGATTTGTATTAAGATTGAGATTAGAAATTATGTTATATTTTTAATTCTATTATTAGAATTATTTTATTAGTTTTAAAAATTAAAACTAATATTTATAAATAATATGTTATTTGTACATTGTGTTGTTGGTAAAGATTGTAGTGGGAGAAAAATTGTAAGGAATAATTTATTAAAAAAGCCACGAGGTAACCATGCTTTTAATTGTGATTAGTGTTACTTCATGTTAATTGGGTGATTATTGAAAAAATTATGAATTTTGTAACATTATATAATTATGCAATATTGTTATGAATTTTGTTTGATTACTGTGGGAGGTGTTGGGAGATTTGCTATTGTTGTATTTATGTGCCACGTGGTACGCCCCTATTGGAGCTCAATAGGTGGCTTGTAAGGGCTCAGGCTAATCTCCCTTTGATCGGGTAATTTAGCACCGAGTGAGGGCTACGGCTCGAGGTTAATGGAAGGATATAAGGATAGTTGTTTGTGTATATTGTAATATTTCTTATATTTGTTGGAATTATATTATTTTTGGTTCTCACTTAGTAAGCACATACTTAACTGTTTGTATACACTATCATAAATTGGCTTTGGTTACTGGGACTTTTGAGTCTCATTATGTGGTTAACAATTTTCAGGAGAAGAGCCACGAGTGACACGTGGAGGAGTCTCAGAGGCTTAGTGGTATAGATCCACTGTCTCTTTTAAGTATTTGATTTATGATTTATAATGTTTTATATTGCCAATATTAGGGCTTTTTATTTATTGACAATTATATGAATATATAAATGTAATCATGCCTTTCAAACTATTTCTATTTTTGATACACTTTGGATGACTGTAATTTTAATATTTGGTTTACTTTGGATTGATTAAAATGGCATGATTATGAGGCCAAATAACTGGCTTATTTTGAAAATTGACTAAATTAGTTATTTTATTTGTTGGGAGTATAAGGATAGACAAATGTGATTTAATTTACTTGTTGAAAGTATAAGGATGGACAAATTTGATTTAGCCTAATGGCATGTGGGAGGTAAAAATTTAGCTGAAATGTTGTATTGTGAGAGTTAAAGCCAATTATAAAATATTTTTATATTAAAATTATTGATATAAAATGTGTTGGGTGGCTGTAACCCAACTATGGTTGAGTTAAATTATTTAAAAAAAATTGGTGTGTTACAGATTGTGCATCCAAGAGAAACTAGATTTGCTACCACTTTCATTACTTTACAAAGTATACATAAGCACAAAAATGACTTGCAAACTTGAGTGGTTGACAAGCATTTTATTGATCACAAGTTATCAAAGACTATAGCAATAAAGAATTTTGCCGACATTATCTTGGATAATAGATTTTGGAACGAGTGTTACAACATGGTGGCGCTTGTTGGTCCCCTCATTCGGTTGCTAAGAATTGTTGATGGAGATAAAAAACCTTCTCTTGGTTATGTCTATGAAGGCATGATAAAGGAAGAAAGGAATTAAGAGTTTCTATAACAACAATCCTTATAAATATAAACCTTACATAGATTTCCTTAAAACTCGATGGGATAAGTACTTAAAGATTAGTCTTCATGTAGTAGCTTATTTTTTGAATCCTCTATTCATATATGATTCGTCTTTTTATCTCAAAAGAAAGCTCACAAATGCTATGCTTGATTTGCTTGGGTGTATGGGATTGATGGATATGTTCAATTATGGGAACAATTGAGTTTGTACAAAAATCATGATGGTTCTTTTGCTAAGGATTACTTAGGTCAAGTAGCAAAAA